TCTCTTTGCTACTAAAAATTACATTTCAGTAGTAAAAAAGTCAAAATATAAAAGCTGAACATGACTTCTTTGGTATCTTGTATTTACTAGTTAGACAAAAAGACACAACTCAGTTTTACCATGATTACATGCTGAAGCACATTTTTACTACAACAGAGGATTGTCAGTTTTTACACTGCCAATCTTCTTTTGTAGTAAAAATGTGCTTCAGAAGAAAAAAATAGAATAATTTCAAACATGAGTAATAAAAATCCGTATTGCAATCACAAGAGTTTATAAAACTGACCTGAGCTGCTCTACCATCGAACTGCGGGTGGAAACTTGTTTGTGACACTGTGGCTTCTGCTTAAATGTCAAGCGGCAATGAGTTTATGTTTTGATACAGGCTGATAAAATCAAGTGTTTGTCACAGTATGTGTTTTTCCTACGCAGAATAGGTGTTCCTACGCAACATTCAATTTATAAGCTCTCAATGGTTTTTTACAGTGTCATTGAGCTTGACTTTTATTGGGCCAAAGAAGATGAACATTGATCAGTTCATTCAGTGCAAGATGTGTAACTTTCTGAAAAAGAAAGAGTAGATGCTATGCAGACACGGCATCCAGATATACAGAGGCAAAATGTTTAAAGTACAATGACAGCGAAGGCCTTCTATGGCTGCGAATGAGCTTGAGGACCACAAAACATGAGACATCCATTCAGAATAATCACATGGCAGAAGTGAGAAACAAAACAGAGATGATTGGTTAGAATTATCTATTAAGCACTTTGTTAAATATATTACTTCTACTTTTTTATTTAGTCCTTAGTCCTTTGATTTACATTCACCCTTATTTGGCAAATGCTTCTAGCCGAAGTTAGTTTTAATGTATTCAAAGTAACTTTCCCACCCACTAACTGCAATATTTTTGACAATTTTTTGCAAAGGTCATCACTTTGGATTCACTTCTGTTACAGAAATTACAAGCATATAAGTATGTATATGAAAAAAAAGGCTTTGGCACATAGCGGTTAAGCCTGTTGAGCTTGTTATTTTAACACTCAAAGTGCTGCCAGGTTATTAAATCTGCACACCTGTGATATTTGCTCAAACTACATCAATGCAAACAAAAAATAAACAATTCCGATAAAAACTCCGAACAGCCTACTTTGTAAACAGTGAAGGAGAAACATATCGATCTGCTATGGATGGATGGATATTTCGGTTATATTTTTTAGCTACTTACTACTGTAAATATTTCATCAGAAAAAGCATACTAGAGCCACCTGATACAAATCTAGCCTCAAATGCCATGTCGTGTCACAGTAGTTTTGAAATGGCAACCCAGTGAACAGACATGCTTTCACAATTAGGAGCAAGTACAGACAAACAGACACCCACACAAACATACCATAATCATGACCTTGCATGAGCTCTTTACAAATATGGACTGAACACAAAGCTGTCATTGGATATGCAGATTTCAATCAAACATTTTCTAATGCCTCAGTCATGCGTACAAATGAGATTCCTCAAGATACAGCGACAGGTATCAAAATCCTCATTGGCAACTCAAGAACAGATAAAAAGGTTTCATAACTTTCAACAAGACAGTTCCTCATTACTAATCTCATGTTCTCATGACGGGTTTCGAATTGTCGCTTTTATTTTAAAAAGAGATCTGTAGGAATAAAGAGCCTGTAATTCAATTCACCCAGGTCTCTCCAAAAGTCTATATTTACCATATAATAAATGAACCACAATAAAGAAAAAGTATTATTATTTCTTATATATCTTATAATTAACAGATATGTAAGCCACAAAAACTGTATCTCAGTAAGCCATAATAAGTCCACTTACTCAAATATGTGACCCTGGAGCACAAAACCAGTCTTGAGTCGCTGGGGTATATTTGTAGCAATAGCCAAAAGTACATTGTATGGGTCAAAATTATAGATTTTTCTATTATGCCAAAAATCATTAGGATATTAAGTAAAGATCATGTTCCATGAAGATATTTTGTAAATTTCCTACTGTAAATATATTAAAGCTTAATTTGTGATTAGTCATATGCATTGCTAAGAACTTCATTTGGACAACTGTAAAGGTGATTTTCTCAATATTTTGATGTTTTTGCACCCTCAGATTCCAGATTTTCAAATAGTTGTATCTCCGCCAAATATTGTTGTATAAATGAAATCATATTTTTGTATGATGTATAAATCTCAATTTGGAAAAAAATTACCTTTATGACTGGTTTTGTGGTCCAGGGTCACATATGTGTTGCTCTATAAGTGGTTTTGTATGTGGGTTTTAAACACCTATTTTAATTAGGTCAAAGCCCTAGTTTTGGTAGGAAAAATAAATATATTTTTCCAAACTAAGCTGACATAATTACCACACACATATATATATATATATATATATATAGATATATATACAGTGGTGTGAAAAAGTGTTTAATCAGGCCTGGGTGTGGCTAGTGAAATTTAACTCAGCTTTCTAAAATAATGTGGTTAATCACAGTTCTTTCATGATTTAACAGGAGGGGGCAATTAATTTTTCACGTAGGGCCACGTAGGTTTGGACAGCTTTTATCCCTTAATAAATGAAATCATCATTTAAAAACTGCATTTTGTATTTACTTGCATTATCTTTGTGTAATATTTAAATTTGTTTGATGATCTGAAACATTAAAGTGTGACAAACATGCAAAAAATAAGAAATCAGGAAGGGGGCCAACACTTTTTCACACCACTGTATATATATATATATATATATATATATATATATTGTGTGTATATATATATATATAGTGCTTCATTAAATCAGTTTTTTAATTTGCTGAAAGTCTCATTACAGGATGTTAAATGCCAGTTTCAAATGTGACAACTTGCCCCAGCCTAATAACATGACCCACTATTGCACCAGGTTATCACAAAATATCAACATGTTTAATGAACTCGATTCTTTTTTTTCCTTTTGCAATAATGGTGGAAATGTACAGTAGCTTTTTGCAGCCAGAAATGTAATGTTGAAACATAGCCTACTGAAAAATATTCACAGGAGTAAAAAGTGCGACAATTACCTGTCTCTGTCCACCCAGTAGTCCATGCCTTCTTTATTGATTACATTATAGCACGCGCGAATGACTACATACATAACCTACCTCTCCTGAGTCCACCGAGTCGCCCAAATGCTCGAGAGTCACGATGCCTTTGCTTTTGGTCTCGTTGTCGCTGAGGATGTCATCCTCCGACTCGTCAAACGCCGTGGAGGAGCCGTTGGAGGAGATGGAGGAGTTGGAGAGTTTGCGGCGCAGCTGTCCGTTGACCTCCTCCAGATCCTCCTCAGTGATCTCCCGTGAATCCCCATCAGACGTGATGGTCACCTGCGGCACTAGGCACCCTCTCCCCGGGTTACCGTCGGAGAGACAGCCTGCTTGCCCACTGAACTGTTCCGCCATCTGTGCTTGATCATCACAAATCTCTGTGGATGAAAAGTTTCCTGCGCGTCCTCCTCCTCCTCCTCCTCCTCCTCTTCTCCCTGAACCGTCGCAAACCGGAGACGAACGGGAGAACACCGCCTCCCTCAGCGACCTCCGCCTCTGTTTGGGCATCGAGGGGACAGGAGGGCTCAGGTTATGCCACCTCTGTCCAAGGGGCCACACGAACGCTGCGATAGTGAGTGGGGGGCCCCTGAAATTAATCCAGCGTGTCAGCTACTTTATTTCCAGTAAGTTTCGTAACAAACGATCTCCTTCCAGATCACTTTGTTTGGCTTAGCGTGAGTCGGTGGACGTACATTCACAGCCAGGGAGCCCCTGTAAACAGCGCTCGAGCTGAGTGAACACACATCTTCCGCATTTGAGACGTTTCCCCGCTCTTCCTGACTTTTAATTTGTTTGACTTTTACTTGATAGCGCATTTCCTTATTCGACCATACTGCTGTTTATTGTGTATCGGGTAAACCTTTTCTTTGTCCATCTGAAAAATATCAAATCATTATCAAATATCAAAATAACAAAGAATGTAGACTGTTACAAATATAGTAAAAGTAAAGGTACATTTATTCAAAGTCACATTAATTACTAGATTTCATTCAATATATGTTGCGATATCTGTACTACAATGTTATAAAGCATAATTTAGTTTCTTACAAAAGATTATATTGTTCATCAGATTTATGTTAATAAGGGTATGCAAATAATAAATGTCAAAAACAGACTTTACTTGAATGATCTGATTCTCATTATAGTTTACTATATTTTTAATGATGTAATTAATTCATACATGTTGTGGTTGTCAGAATTTGACAGGAAACACAGTGAAACAAGCATTTTGGTGACTGTATAGAAACTCTATGCCATTAAATGATATAATACTGCCAAACTATTGGAGCTATATAAAATCTGGTTGTTATTATAAAATGTAGCCTACTGATAATAAAACTGATGTATAGGTCACATGATGACTTCAAATTCATCAGAATTGCCCTTTCCAGCAACTGTGGTCATACAAAAGCAAAACACATAACACACGGCACAAAAGTGATGAAATAAACATCAACTAAATAACACAAAACATTCCATTGTACATAAACAATAACAAAAAAAATCTTGGGATGGCCATTTCAATTCACGCATACGTTTTTTTTTTCCTTCTAAAAACATTATAGTCAACACTATTTTGCCCTTAAACACGTTGATTTATTAAATACAATTTTCTCTGTAAATGAGCAAAGAATTCTTACTTTTTAAACAATTTACATGAACTAGAAAACATTTTAAAGTAAAATCATATGTAAGCTATTGTTTTTTAACAAACTGGGATATTTCCTGTAGGATTATAAAATATGATTTCATCTGTTTTGGCATATTTTCCCATCATTTTTACCAAATATGATCAAATAAGGTAACTTACAGTTAACCAATGAAGAGTTGTTATTGTATTCGCTTTCGGTTGTCGTAGTGTTGTGCTGTAGTTTGTACTTCCTCGCAGTAGGTGGCAGTAAAGCTCTAAGTTGCAGGTCGAGGTCACGCACACAACACAAGAGAAGGAGAGCGCAATTCTTTCCAGAGCATTTTAGTGAAGTTCAGGATTGCTTCCCTGAACTCTTTAACTGTCCAAGTGCAATTGCATAATTAACTCGACAGTTTTTTCCCCCCCAGTTTTATTCTGCAGTCGCTACAATTCCCAAAATGTTGGCTGTCAGAAGAGCACTGCGTCTCTGTCAAAGAGTGGCAAATGTCAGTGTCTCGCGTCGTGGATGCGCTGGAGCTGTTCCCGTGGACGACATCGTGAACGGTCTTACCGAGGAGCAGATCCAGGTACAGTATCCACACACCTGTTACTAAACCTGGAGCCAAAGCTCGTGAAAGGTCACCGTTTCTTGTTAGTCTTGTTCAAGTTTAGCAGGGATGCGCTAGTTAGCTGGGCTAGCATACATGATGACCTTTGACTCAATTTTAGGAACTTAAGACCGTGTTCATTTAGTTGCCAGGCATTTTTTCAGTAAAACGCATACAGATCCAACCTTGAAATTGAAAAATGTAAGTACAGTTAGAAGTTCAGTTAAATATTTCTGGGGTTTTAGTATATGATAGACTGACATACTTTCACTGCTGCCTGTGCTAAGTGGGCGCGCTGTGTGGGTGTGAACGGACGGCGCGTTTTAATTGGCCAGGATCATTTTATAAACCCTTTATTAGCTTTGATAGAAGCCCACTGGAAAGTCATAACACAACTTACAGAAATCTGCAATTGAACATATTGCTTAAGTTTGGACATGGCACTCAGTGTTGTGTGGTGGTCTTCTGAAATCAGGAGGCAAATGTACTTCTTAGCCCAATATAAATTAATGATCCAATTCTGTTTTATGTTTAATGGTGTCGAGGTTAAATGTGTATGAAATAACCTATTTCTTTAAGCTAAAAAAAGCTTATTTTATTATAGACACTAACCTTCAAAGTTCTGAACAGTATATTTTTTTAAATGAATGAATACTTTTATTCAGCAAAAGTAAAATAAATACATTATAATGTTACAAAAGATTTCTATTTTAAATAAATTCTGTTCTTTTGAATTTTCTGTTTATCAAGAGCCCTGAAAAAATACAGCAGAGCTGTTTTCTACATTGTAATAAGAAATGTTTCTTAAGCAGCAAATCAGCATATCAGAATGATTTCTGAAGGATCATGTGACACTGAAGACTGGAGCAATGATGCTGAAAATTCAGCTTTACATCACAGGAATGAATTCCAATAGATTAGGTTATTTTAAATTGTAATATTATTTCACTATTATTTTTTGCTGTATTTTTTTTTACCGTATCTGACCCTAAACGTAAGAATAGTGTACATATGTAGGCCTATAATATGCTTTTTATTATAACCAACTCACATCAATGATGTATATATCTTTATTATTTGACCACTAACTGTGTTTGACTTTTGTTAATTGTTACAAATATAACATTTTATATTATTACTTATTCTGCAAGTGTATTGATTCCTGCAGGCATAGAGGTGCTATTGGACAGGATTAGTTAAAAACATTAGTGGAAGTCATGCATTAAAAACAATATTTGTTTTGCGTTTGGGCCGTAAATTATTATTATTATTTTTTTTTTTTTTGAGGAGGAGGCAGCACTGCTTCTCCTGCCTTCTCAGACAGAAAAGGTAAAACCATGGTATGTTGGTTAGTGTAATACCTTGATAATCTTTGAAGCACCACGAGAATACCTTAGTGTATGAATATGGTAATCATGCAGCAAAATGTTATTGAATCCATTACTATACCTTGCTGTTACTAGGGTTGGGCCGATAGACGATGCCATCGTCCATCGCCGATGGCTGACAGATATCACGATGTTGAGCCGGCATTGTGATCCATACCCCCCGAAATCCGCCACATCCCAATTCCGTGTTCGGAAAGGAAATTAAGTGTACTACGGAACCCCTAAAGGGAATAAATAGCCTACGAGATGGGAGGATAAAAAAAATATTTCAATACTTTCTCTCGCAATTATATCGTTGGGTAATTATACTGTAGGCCTATATAAATTGCGGGCATCAGGAAACCGCTACTAATATACAGGGCATTGAATCCACTTTTGAATGCGCGCTCTCATTTTACTTTCACTTTCGAGATTCACGATCACACGGACTCTATACTACGGAGCGGCCTTACCTACAACACATTTTACAAGATTAGATATTTGTCAGTGGTGCTCAGTATCTGCAAATCATTCTCCATCGTCCTAGCAGTCATCTCTCCTTACTCGGTGTATGTGGTAAGTGAACTTTCATATACTGTAATGTAACAGTCTACCGCTAGCAAGCGGCTAACCATGTCCCTTTAGTGGCTCTGTAGAACGCGTTATTTGTTTTCCGTGCCTTTCTGCAAACAGATTCACGCTTCAGGCACACCCCCTAACCCCGCCCCCCGATGTCATCGTCCATCAAGATGTTTCACTGTAGAGATCGTCCGATGCCAATTTGGCAGACATCGCCCAACCCTAGCTGTTACTGCCACTGTATTCTTTTTTTTTTGCAAGGGACTTGCAGTGTACATTTAGCATCATGGAATTGTTTTGTTGAGGTTTTTGGCAGCTCATGTCATTTGTGGACAGTCTGCCCTGTGTTTATCATACATCTTTGTTTTGAACACCAGCTCAGACGGACAGTCCAGAGATTCTGCCAAGAGAAACTCACTCCCTACGCTGATGAGATTGACAAGACAAATGAGTTTCCCCACATGAGGGTGAGTTTCCGTACATGACAAGTATCTCGGGTCTCTCTGTAATAATCCTGAGTAATGAATCCTAACAAATATGATCTGTTTTTAAAACTAGACCTTTTGGAAGGAGATGGGTGAGCTTGGACTGCTTGGAGTTACTGCTCCAGGTTGGACCATTTATAGGCTGTCTTCAAAAACCATTGTTTATGAGCTAACTGTTGCTGAGACCGTATTGAGCACAGTCTGATGAGATTCTCCTGTGATGCTTTTATCCATGTGTGCAGTGGAGTACGGTGGAACAGGATTGGGCTACCTTGATCATGTGATTGTTATGGAGGAGATCTCCCGTGTGTCAGCAGCTATTGCTCTCAGCTATGGCGCGCACTCCAACTTGTGTGTAAATCAGATGGTTCGACATGCAAACCAGAAACAGAAAGAGAAGTACATGCCAAAGGTGTGAGTCAAAACATTTATTCATTTAGCAGAGCAAAACTGCTGTCTATTACGTTTTCTATTAAGCTAGCTTTTTAAAACTGACCTATGACATTATGCATTAGGGAAAATCCATTTTGTAAATGCAGAATAATTAAATGTATTTAGGTTATTTATGGATTTTCGGGGTTCAGTTGTTTTTCACAATTATGCATATGTTTGTGCTTCAGTTGATGACGGGGGAGCATGTGGGTGCCTTGGCCATGAGTGAGCCCAACTCTGGCTCTGATGTAGTGTCCATGAAACTGACAGCGAAAAAACAAGGTGACTGGCCTTCTGTTATCACTCTATGCTGCTCTGTTAGTCACCACTGTCTGTTGCTATAATAAGCACCATTACATCAGTGCCATGGACTTGTCATAACTGGTTACATGCATGTTACAGCATAATTGTTGACTGATTTGTCAGATATGTTGTCCTTTCGTTTACACTACAGTTCAGAAGTTTGAGATCAGTAAGATTTTATTTGTAAAAAATGTATACTTTTGTTAAAAAAGAATGCGATAAATTGACAAAATGACAGTAAAAGCATTTATAATGTTACAAAAGATTTCATATAAATGCTATTCTTTTGAACCTTCTATTCATCAAAGAATCCTGGAAACTTGTGTCTCAGTTTTCACAAAAATTTTAAGCAACACAATTATTTTGAACAATTGTTTCTTGAGCACCAAATCTGCATATTAGAATGATTTCTGAAGGATCATTTGACACTGAAGAAATGGCATCACCAGAATTAATTACATTTTAAAATATATTAAAATAGAAAACAGTTCTTTTGTATTAATATCTCACAGTATTATTGCTGTTTTTACTGTATTTTTGATCAGTTAAATGCTGGCTTGATAAATATGAGAGGCATTTTTCTAAAATATCAACAAATCGTATAGACCTCAAACTTAAATGGATGTTTATGCACTAATTTATGCATGAATAATGCAAGGGATATATCTTATTAGGAATGCACCAATATTCTAATGATTCTGATGAGCCACTAATTTTTTATGGACCTTAATAACCAATAAATGGCTGATAGTAAAATGCAGTATTTTGTCTAAATAAATAAAATCAGTCACTTAGACATCTAGGGATGTAACGATTACCGGTTTCACGATAAATCACGATAAAATGCCCTGACGGTTAGTATTACCGTTTAAAATTTAATTATCATCAAAACCGTGTTTGATTATCGCAATTTTGAAATATGTTCAAAACCGTGATATTGATAATCGTGATAACTTTGGTCACTATAATCGTGATATGAAATTTTCATACCGTTACATCCCTATAGACATCACAGCACTATAATGCAAAGTATGAAAAATGGACGTTCATTTTGGCATTTGTTAAAGATTACATCAGCCGATATATTAATAGTTTCTCCAATAAAATAAATGTAAAAAAAGATGTTGTACGTTTTTGATATGTTGTACGTTCCTACTTATTAGTGTTTGTAATGTAGATTTGTAATGCTTATTCCATTGCATAAGAAATTTGTCACTGGCAAAACATGTATGCACTATAATGTAATGACGTATTAGTGATTTACCTGTATATTGTTTGCAAAAATTTTTTTTTATCAAAACACATAATAACTGCTTTTGAATGGCTGTCTAAATAAAAAATGTATATTGCCCCTAGAGTGGTGTACTTGAGGCATCTCAAGGGCTAAATGAGTATTGCTAACCAGACAAACCCTGACAACGCATGTTTGGCTGTATTATAACCTTCTTTTCCCTTTGATCTGTCATCTTTAAGGGGATCATTATGTGTTGAACGGTAATAAGTTCTGGATTACGAATGGACCAGACGCAGATGTTCTGATTGTGTATGCTAAAACAGACCCAGAGGCAGCAGCCCGTGGCATCACTGCATTCATTGTAGAGAAGGTTAGAGAAGCCGAGCCATTCATACTGAATGATTGATTATGGTTTACTGTTCGGTCTGAAATCATATTATACTTCGCTTTGAACGGTTTTATTCAGAGGTGTGTCTAACTGATTTATTTAAAAATGTATCACCTGAATGTATTTTAGAATTTCTGTCTAGTGTACATCTGAAATGTCTTTTATAACCTTTTGTTTATTGTATACCTTGTATAATTTATTCAGAGATCGCCATGAGAATAGCCTTGATGCTGGCATGGCGTTAAAAAGTGAATAAATAAATAACACCTAGCATTGAGATTCTGATTGAATGAGTCAATTTTAATCTGTTGATCAGGAAGGCACCTTCAATAGATAAGCATTTCATAGTTATTGTGCTTGTCTTCTTGAAGGGCATGCCAGGATTTAGCACAGCGCAGAAGCTGGATAAACTGGGAATGAGAGGATCTAACACCTGTGAACTCGTCTTTGAAGACTGCAAGGTCCCTGGTGTGTGAAGTCTATTATGCATATTTGTGAGTCTGAATATGTTGGAGGTCCAAACAACAGATTAAGATGGTCTGTTGTGCTTTCAGAGGAAAACATATTGGGCCCGTTAAATAAAGGAGTATATGTTTTGATGAGTGGCCTGGACCTAGAGAGACTCGTCCTGTCTGCTGGACCTGTTGGGTAATTGTTTATTTTCAGTAGCTTGCTTAGAAATGTTAAATGGTCAAATAGTTCTTTTTGACCATTTTCTGCATTCCCTCAGCATCATGCAAGCTGTGCTTGACCATGCAATTCCTTACCTACATGTTCGTGAAGCCTTTGGACAGAAAATCGGCCACTTCCAGGTATGCTTTTCACTCTAAAATATGCAAGTATTTGTTTTGTTGTTCAACATGTTTTATGTTTGTCTACTAATAGATGAAATTACTGTTCTGTTTGCCAAGAAACATTCTGTCATCATGGTATTTCCAGGTTCATTTATTTATTTTAGTTTTTCTTTGCTATGACAATCTGGTGTTTCTGAATCAGCCACTGTTTTGTTATTTGTTTAAGTATTTGCTATTGACTGTTCAAATGCGGAGTTTTGCGCATCGTGTGTGCGTGCGTGCGTGCGCGCGTGCGTGTGTGTGTGTGAGAGAGCTAGAGAGACCAGCTTCATCACTGTGTCTGTCACGTGACTCTGTTCCCCTTTCGGGCTCTGTCTTTACATTTATTTTGAAAGATGAAGCTCGCGATTATGGTAAGGGGCGTTACATTTCCGACGAGTGCTTGTGGTGTTCGGCCAATCACAATGCACTGGGTCAGCTGGCCAATCAGAGCAGACTGCGCTTGTCGGAAGGAGGGACTTTGTAGAAAACTAAGCGTTTGAGAGAGGCGGGGCATAGAGGACCTACAATAATGTACAGTATTTAAAAAATAATGTTTTTTGAACATTAAAGCATGTCAACATATTCTGTTACACCAAATACACAAAATAATGATCTTTAAAAAAGCATCATATGACCCCTTTAATATATACTTTTATATGAGATTAAAAGGTTTCCCAGGCTTTAAAAGTGTTGCACTATATGTGCGCTCAACAACCTGTTACATGTCCAAAAATGGTTTTAAATGGATCCTTATTTCACCATAAATCATAGGTATCACTTTATAATAAGTTTTTTTTACATGTGGGTCAATATCACTGTAGGGTGCCTTTTGGTGTCCTGTACATAAATAACTAATTTGCCATGATAACTTAACATAAAAATGACTATGAAAGGGTGTTATATTAGGCAAAATTTTTATATTCATAACAAAAGCATTACTTGGCTCTTTAGATACATTTTCTAGATTTTGTTTTGTTTTGTGTAAGAGGATACGTGTTATTCTGCTATGTCCCATGCACTGCTCATTCAATTTGAATGATAATAGAATATTGTCAAATCATAAAATAAAAAAATAAAATCTATTAATATTTTGTTAAATAAGAGATTACTCAATTTGAATGTATTGATCATTTGGTAATAAAAACTATATTCTTATTTAATAAAAAATAAGAGTTTGTCCATGTCCCTTGAATGGTTGTCCACCCTGTCATATTGAGGAATCCGCCCCTTTAAGAAAAGGCCATCCCCTTTAGTGACATCAGGACGACAGATTTTTTGTCTCTTCAGTGGCGGGAATTTCAACAGCTGAGGTGCATAAGTTGGTGACATTTCAGTTGACAAATTTTCTTCGTCTGAGTTTGCTTACTTGTTTTGCCAAAGATTAACATGTCCACCCTGTCGGCATAAAATAGGCCAGAAGTGATTAGAATAGAGTATTTTCAAGTTTAAATATACCAAATTCTCTTCAACAACCAGACTAAATATTTAGCTAGTAACAGTTTGTTGTAAGCTAATATGCTAATTGAAGCTCAAAATGTCCACCCTGTCGGCCACTTAGACTCAATAGGGTGGACATAAACATGACAGGGTGGACATAGCATTCATTTGAAGTTTATATTGCTAAAAACTAAAATGAATGGGGGGTGTATATCAATGTGATTGAGGATGTAATTATATTATTTATTATTATTATATATATTTTTTAATAACCCTGTTTAGGAAAGGGACATCATACCTTTCAGAAAATATAATTTGCATCTTAATTTTGCAATGAAAACTTATTTAACAGTAATATATATTTCCATATGCTTCGAATAATGGCCCATAATTATCTAAAAAAATGTGTGGGAGCTCAGCAAATATGTTTCTATAGTACTTGAGTGTCTACTATTTATGATATGACATAAAGCGATTGGGAAATTAAAACCAAAATTGAGCATTGTGAGGGTTGAAAGGCACTCTATGGTGATAACACGTATAAAAAGAACCATATTACTACTCATAGCCATCATTATGCTTCAGAAGTATAAGGTCTTTTGAAAGAAATTAATACTTTTATGCATCAAGGATTGCTCAAAAGTGACAGTGAAGTCTTCCATTCTTACAAAAGGTTTCTATTTAAAATAAATGCTGTTCTTTTGCACTTTATAGTAATCAAATTGTTTTTGATGAATAGAAATGAATAGATTTCTTGAAAAAAAATATTTTTGAGTAAATGGTAATACGACCTTTTTAAACTGTGATCTTAAGAAATGTTTCTTGAGCGTTAAATCAGTATATTGGAATGATTTCTGAAGGATCGTGTGACACTGTAATGATGCTGAAAATTCAGTTTTGCAATCACAGGAATAAATAAATGACATTTTAAAATAATTGAAAAATTATATTTTAAATTGTAACTGTTATTGTTTTAATTGTAACATTAATTATTTTTGATAAAATAAAAGGAGACTTCTTTCAAAAACTTTTTTTTTTTAAAAACTCACCAACTCAAGACTTTTGAATAGTAGTGTTTATACACAATTTTATGTATTTTTTATGTATTTATAGTCTTTATGTAAAGTTCTGAAAGGGTATTAAACAAATTAGTTCCCTTGGCAATAAAATTAATCAAATGATTTTTCCCATTGACTAGCTAATGCAAGGAAAAATGGCCGATATGTACACACGGCTTAATTCATGTCGACAGTATTTATACAACGTTGCCCGTGCTTGTGACAAAGGCCATTTCAGTGCTAAGGTAAGAGCTCTTTACCCAGTTTTTGTTATTTGGCTGCTTTGTTTTATGATGTTACATATGGGCCTGGAAATGATGCATACAGTCCTTACATAGTGTGTAGTAGCACTATTGATTTGTGATGTTATTGTAGGACTGTGCTGGGGTAATCCTTTATTGTGCTGAGAATGCGACTCAAGTTGCCTTGGATGGAATTCAATGCCTGGGTGAGTGCCTAATAGTTAGCACAGCAAAAACGACAAGAAATAGCTCCCGATGTACCTTAGACAGAGATCAGGGCCAAACCCTTCTGTCTTCATTCATTCTTACCACAGCATTAGTTACTGGGTGGATAAAACGGCAAACAAGTCAAACTTGTACCTTTTGCCATAGATGCTTTGTTTTTCGAATGTACTACGTAACGTGAGATAATTGAGCATTTGTATGCTGATTGATTGTAAATGCTTTTTATATTGATCCAACAAATTGAACAGCTAATGTTAGACTGGTCCTGTTGCTATGACAACAACTCTGAGATGAGCTCAAAAATGGAACGATTCAGGATCGTGTTAAATCGTCAGCAAATTAAGTCCTGCTAATTCAATAAGCCCAGGTCTTATGACTCGAGTTCTAGTTGACTCACACTTGCGTCTGTTCACAGGTGGAAACGGTTACATTAATGACTACCCAATGGGGCGCTTTTTAAGAGACGCTAAACTTTATGAGATTGGAGCTGGAACCAGTGAGGTCAGAAGGATTATCATTGGCAGAGCCTTCAATGACTTGTTCAAATAAGAGCAGCACTTAATGAATGAGTATCTGATCCTACACAGACTGGGTCGCTGTGGCCAGATATTTCATTTTCATCTGGCATCCTAATTATAACACCTTTATTAATGTGAAGTGTAATTGCTAATCATTTTCAAGAACATGTTGTGGTGTTTTCTTTGGATGTCAAATGCTGTTATATGATGTTCTGTAATACATACACATACATGCATGGTGAAGTGATCTCACATATAAGAACTAATGCAATAGTAAGAAATGCACAAACCTCTAGTCATTTTAAGAGGACACACTATGAAGTTATTTTACGTGAATGCTTATGATGGAAACAGCCAGAAGAATTAATTTGTCCCAGGAGCCTTTGTCATGTGACATGGGTGTTTCTGTTGCACATGATACTTGTATAGCACTTGCATTTGTCTTGTTTTTTTTTTTTCTCAGAATATGGTCACTCCGTGTAAGCTATTCTGCATATCATCTCTGCCCCACTAACATTATTTGGGGCTCTTTTTCATATATGAAAAAAAAGAGTTTCTTTATAGAGGATATTTTTTGAATTGTGTGCCATTCAGATATTCTCACCTCTTTTATTTCTTTGTGTTTTAAGATTAGTTTAATCTTAAGGTTCAAAAGAAGTAGCACGTTTTTGAAATAAGCTGTTGTATTGACCATAATACCTTTAGGTTTTCAGAATCCTGCCTTACTGAATAATCGCTTAATGTATTTAAAGTAAATGATTGTTTAGAATAAACATCTTTCTTTCATCTGATGGTGTCAGATTTGTTGTCACTCATACTTTCTCTGATTTTATTAGTTATTTTCAGAATGTCTTAATTTACTTTGTTATTTTATTATTGTGTGTATAATACAGCATATATACATTTTTTTTAGCTTTTATTTTCTTTTTCTTTTTTTAATGCTTTTTTAAATATATTTTTAATTTCAGTTTTAGTGTTAGTAATTTTAGTAGTTTAACTAAAACTTATTTTATTTCAATTAGTTGCCAAGGCAACACTTTCCGTTTTCATTTTGTGTTTTATGTTTTCCATCTAATATTTATATTTTATATTATTTCAGCTTAATTTCAGTTTTTAACTGTTTTAGTTAACAATAACAACACTAATTTACGGCCTATTATTTTCTGGAATAAGATGCCTCAGAGCTGTTCACTGTTTCTATTATCAGTACATTTCTTTAATTCTGAAAATGTAAAATAATTGAGATTTTTTTACACAACATTGACTTTTTTTAATAGTTTCTATATTAACCACCTGGTTTATGCTTTGAGCAGGTGTGAAAAATGACTGACCATTGTTTTTTTGTAGAATTTTTTTCTTTGATCTAAATAAATTCTAATCCCATATGAACTATTCCAAGTTGTAGGATAGAACTGTACTTTATCATCTTATACTTAATATTCATACACCTAATTGTGAGAGATTTGAGTTAAAAATAAACTTTTGTAGAGTACACAGATCATTGAACATGCATTGATCATTTGTGACAATACATATAAGAAACAAGTAAATTCATTAAGGTAAGTGAGCACAGTTTCAAAAATGATGTCAGTGTTGGAATTGTTTAAAGGGATTGCTGAATTCACAAAACATTATTTTATTAATTCAATAAGAACTAGGCTCAAGCATGAAAACACTTAAGAGAAAATACAACATGGTTTATGACAATGTATTCTGATATTTTCTACTAGTCATACAGTATGTCCATAAACTGTAGTCAGTCAATGTAATGAACTACACCTGTGTGATGTTGAAGGGAACCGACTTCATAAATTCACTAAAGTCATTATAAACTGTCTCAGAAATTAAAGTCAGTGCTGAGAAACCTCTAGCATCATTCTCTTGCTGATTTCATGTGTTAGATATTTTGTATTTAATGCAGTGAAATTAATCATTTCATAAACTCAAGTGTCTAAATGCTTTTTGGGTCCACTATATTAATAATGGGCTTTAATGTTTCACAACATGTGCCCATAGCCCTTTAAGAAACTCCATGTTGTCCCAGCATGCCATACGTCAACACACTGGCTTTGTCGCAAAACCTAGTCAGTTGCCTACCTAGACAGCATAACGGACATCATAGATGAGTTCTTAACCTGCATTTTGAGCATTATAGGTGCGTGCAACATGTTTTAGAAAAATCAAAGGCGCGTTGTGAGTCAGTTCAGTTGACCATGATGCCTAACCATGCAGTCTATGTAGGCAGCGTTTAAGGTTTTGTGACACTGCCACTGACAGCGGATGGTGGTGTTACGTAAACTCCATGGCAAAAGTGTTTGTGTCAGTTCTGCATCAGTCTGCTCTATTCCAGGTGTTCTCCTCAGGATGACAGTACAATGAGCTCCTCTTCCCATTTATCCAAGAGAGAAACGACACCGGAGCAGCGGTGCGTGTTACCAATAAACTCTGTCATTTAAATCCACGACACCACTCAAGGTAGGAGAATCTGTATGCTACATTTAAAAGAATGAAGTTTTAGGCATAAGTCGATATTTTTTAGCGTGCAGTCCTCCAACGTTAGCCTAAGTTTGATTTAAGCCAGTCACACTGAAGTAATTAAAAAGGATTTTAAACCAGAAGTAATTCATCGTTTAGTTTCGTTATTCATCATGACAGGATTGTTATCTATCTATATCACATTCCGACGCGACGCGTCAAAACTAGAATGCTCCCATAATAATCAACGCATTCATCCGAAGGTTTTTGCGCTAACGAGAGCGTTCGAGTTTGTCGCGTCGCTCGCAGTGTAGGATGAGTTGTTTGTTAGTAACGCAATCACGGGTTGTAGTTTTACTCTGGTTGTTCACTTGCGAAAACACTGGAACTGACATGTTTGCTCTCTTCACCTTTATTCGAGTAGATGAGCCATATTTCAAGTAAGTGAAGTTTGGAAAAATGTTATTGCACTTACCTTGATACTTGTCCTTTGCTTCTTGTATACTTTATTTTATTGGATCATAAAAAGCTTTAGTTCTGTGAACTGAGGCAATTTTTATTGAATGTCACCTAACAAAATAATTTTCACCTTATGTATCTATTTGAACAACATTTTTTAAGTGTACTATGAGATAATGGTGCACTAATATTTGCTGTAATATGCTTTTCATATTTCATGACATTACATAGGCTATTACTCTACTGTGGGATGGGACGATAGTTGAAACTTTTGTTTCTGTTGATAAAGCATGATGCTGCTGTTTATTTACCTGCCTAAAGATGACATTCTAGTTTTCTGTCTTTCAAGCGCTATCTATTATTTAAATTTTTTTAAATCAAGAGTGCAGTAATTAATACATTTTGGTTTTGCTCATTTATTCACAAAATGTTTCTCCTAAAGTTTTTAAAATTGACCTCAGGTGTCTTTGACATGTCAGTTTTCATTACCCTTTTCATTTAGGCTCATAACATACAGAATGTAGTTATGCTGGAATTTAAAAAGGCATTTTCAAGATATTAATTGTGATTTTTGTGCTGTCACTAACAGTTGAGTCAGTCTCAGGTGATGAAGCACAGGCTTTATTGCTGACATCAGAATATAAACACATAAAAGACATGCATGACAAATACTGTAAATGCATGCATGAAAATATATTTTAGGCCACATGACTGATGGTCTGGTGGGTGAGCTTTTTTTGTTTGTAATATTTCTCATGTTTTTTTAATTTTCAGTCAGTACACATTGGTTGGTTTGATCAGCTACTGGCTTGCCCGTTTTATGGCCATTATTATGCCATAATACTGTTGCCATGTTTGAGGAGCAAGCGTATGTTCTGTTGTCCCATTTTCTGATCCAATTATAGGATTTCTGAATGATGTTGGGTTATGTAGTCTAATGTTCAATGCGGTTTAATTCACATTCCTTTTGGCGGCCATTTTTAAGTGCCTAAGTTCTAATATAATGACTACATGTTCATGCTGAATTGGTTTTGTTTTTACATTTCATTGGTTTTGCTTTACCTAAATGCCTTCATAAAAGAAAATGTGGTCTGTAAGTTGAAAATCTACACTTACAAAAAGGCAGTGTTCTCCAAAACATTTCCTACTAACCATCCAAAACAGTCAGCTAAAGGTGAAATGTTTTGACTAAACCGGCAAGGTAAAATATAACCTATGGTCTAAATGCTACTATCAAGAGAGGATATAAATAGCGCACAGGTCTGCTGAATATAAAGTGACAGTAATTGTGGTATTACGTAGATGGAAAGCTTGAAGCTGAAGGAAAAGAAAAAAGTGCTATGACAAAAAATTTGAAAGGGTTTTATTCCCTGTTTAGGGCTTCAGGGTCCATTATATTTATTGTGGTCCTCAAGAGTATTACCTTCCTGGTAAATAATTGGGTTGGTATATAGGAAGCAATGTTTCTTGACCATAAAATGCTTAAAAAGTTGAAATAACGGCAGGTGTTTTACTGCAAAGCATTTTTTACAGTATTTAATGTAAATTATATTCCTAGCAGGTTTATATGAGACTCTCATAAACGGCTGGATAGAGAAAGTTTTCATATGTTTTCACAAATAATGACTTTAAGTATTGGTTACAAGTGGAAAAAACGTTTTACACATATGGAAATGAATATAAAATCTCATGTTTACTCTGATCGTTTCATAAATTGTCAAAAGTATTATTAGGGAAGCACTAATATTAAAGGGGTCATATGATGCTGCTAAAAAGAACATTATTTGGTGTAATGAAATGTGTTTATGCGGTTTAAGGTTTAAAAAAACACATTATTTTCCACATACTGTACATTATTGTTTCTCCTCTATGCCCCTCCTTTCTGAAGCGCATTGATTTTTACAAAGCTCATCGGTCTGAAAAGCGAGGTGTGCTCTGATTGGCCAGATATCCAGAGCGTTGTGATTGGCCGAATACCTCAAGCGTGTGACGGAAATGTTACGCCCCTTACCATATTGTGATGATGCCCTGTCCGGCCGAAGCGACGAGACATAAACATTTAAACCCATAATAAACAAGGCATTTGTTGCATCCAGTGGGGACATAATTACGGATTATAATGACTTATACTGTCTTTTTACGAGTTGCGTTGCATCATGCCGCGTAAACATAAAACCATGTCTGCATTTGTGATTGGAGTAATAACAAACAACAAGTGCTACTCTACACTGCTCAAAACTCGCGTTTGAATCGTCAGTGGCAAATTCTTTAAATATAAAAAACATACTTGCAGTCTGTGAGTCAGAACAGCCGGCATTGTAGTCTACTCTACCAGGATCAGCAAACAGTCCTCCGTAAAATGCGCTGGACACATCTGAATATTTGGGTTAAACTGTTCTGGAACAGTGTTGTAAATACAACTTAACCACTGATTTCTAGTCGTGTCCTCTTTTGGAAGGCCAAACAAAGTAGTTTCGCTTTCACAACGAAACAGCATCACACACTGCGCGGCCTTGAGTGAGCAGAGGCCTAGAGTGAGCGGAGACCGGCTTGAGTGAGCAGAGGCGGCGGGCTTGAGAATGGCGCGGCTGGCGGATTCGACAAAGGAACGTCCGGCGGGCTTACGGCAACCACATGTGACAACCACGGGCTGGACTCCGCTTTTGGAAGACCAAACAAACACAATGAAACACACAGCGCCTTCACGACATGGCGGCGGCGGCGGCAACAACAATACTACAGCGAGAATAAAAGTTAAGCCTTCTTTCTTTGCGTGAACATTTGGGCGGCGTTATGCAAATCTTCCCACATCGTGACGTAGATATGTGGGGGCGTGTTAGAACGAGCTTTTTTAGGTAGGTGTGGTTGACTCTTAACTTTTATAAAGAATATCTCTTTGGATTTGAGACTTTAGTCTTAGCAACTTTACACATCTTCTTTATTCACCAAGAGCTTGTAACACTGCAAAGAGAAAGGAAAAATTTAAATTGCATCATATGACCCCTTTAAAACAGATAAATGGCTGATATTTAAATTCTCTGCATTTTGTATAAATAAATGTTAAAAGAGGATTCATTTTATGTGCTGCAAGTGAATTTAGGCATTACAACAATATAGGCTAATGTAGAGTAAGAAAATGTATATTCATTTTGAGATTTGCTAAAGTTACATTTAACAGTGTTATTAAATTATTACTTTTTTGAAAACTTAATTTCTGACCATTAAACTAATCTAGCGTAAACATCCAGTATTGACAGAAATGGATAGATACAGATGTATCATAATCAAACAGTTTTCAGATATAGAAATAGTTCTTACTGAATCAATTCAGCTCATGTTTAACATGAATTATCACCTCTTGGGAAAAAGAAATCCATCAAACATGTATGCATGATTAGGATTTTTCACTGAGCAGATCATCAGTGATATCCCATTACAGACGGCAGCTTATGTGCAGCAAATTGACTTTTAGATTAATGGTCCATAACCCCTTTTACCAAATTTGTACAACATGGAGTATAACAGGGCCGCCTCGTCTCCACTCATTGCACATCAAATCAAAATATTTGACATGGAGAATTGAATTTAAAAAGACAAAGTTGCAATAGTTACACAACGGCTTCACTGTATTGATATGCATTACAAGTGGAGATACATGGTATGCGCTAGTTTATCTTTAGAGCATTGATTCTTTTACTGATACAAACAAGATATAAAATAATAGCCTCCAATGATTTAATAAAGTCGCTTTGCTGCTGATCTGCCAGCACTAATATAAACATCTTCCAGCGGAACTAATGGACAAAGACAGAATTTGAACCAAGCAAAGCCTCCAAATTACTTTTTGGCAAAATGGGCAATTAGGGATGCACTATACAGTATATTGGTATCATTATATAGCTATCTTATAGTTTTGATCGTGTATATTGAATTTTGTATGTTTGTCATGCTAATTTCTCCTGTTTTTACACAGTTTAACGTTTTTTTACTGTTTACCGTAACTGTTTAGTTAATTTTTGGTATTTAGTTTTTTTTAATGCTATTTTAAAAAAAAACTCCAGTACACTTTAATTAAAACTCCAGTACACTTCTGTATAGGGCTGGACGGGCGATATGAGCAAATATGCATATCTCTGTATTTTTTGGCTGATTTGCGGTATATGGTAGCCTATTTATATTGGTATTTTGTGTTTGGATTAAACAAATAAAGTGAATGTAAGCATGTATATTATGTGCAAAAAAGGGTTAAAATCACATTACATTGTAACATTGCAATCTAAAAACAAAAATAATCCTTTTAAAGCAGAAGTTAAAGTTACTAAACTAAAAATGAAAATAATAAAAAGCACAGACTAATTGAGTATAAAGGCTATTTTGATTACCCCATTACACTTTACAGTTAGTGCTATCATACAAATACACTTACTTGTAGGTTTAAAATTCTACATATGTCACATTTATTGTCCAACTGTAACCGGTCTGTTGCTGTTACCACCATCTGCGTTGTATCTAAGAAGACCCAGGACACTTTCAATTCTGTT